GAGCCAAGCGGAGGGAAATACTACCTAATGGGAAACCTTACACTGGCCAATCTCAGAACCAACTTGAGTCACCGCCTGAGTCTGTGTTCTCTGCATGGACAACCAGGACTAGGAATCACCTCTTATGTTAGAACGAGGGGAGGCGAAGAGACAGCAGATCCATAGATGCTTCAGGGCCGTATCTCCACAAGGGACTGGGCAGCGAAGGGTGGTGAGGGAGGCTTCAGAGGCAGGTGGGGCTGGGGGGATTCTCCTGCCTGCTGCCACAATCCTGCACCCAAGCCTCGCCCCCTACCCAGCAGGGCCAGCTTTGCAGAGAGCCTTGGAGGCTCGCGCTCTCTCTCTCTCTCTCTCTCTCTCTCTCTCTCTCTCTCTCTCTTTCCCTCTCTCTCCATCCCAAGCCTCATCCTGCACCCAAGTCTCGCCCCCTACCCAGCAGGGCCAGCTTTGCAGAGAGCCGTGGAGGCTTGCTCTCTCTCTCTCTCTCTCTCCATCCCAAGCCTCGTTCCCTTCTGACCCCCAAAACCCCACCTCTGAGAATGCAGGGCCTGCCACATCATCTCATTAATTAATGAGTTTAGGACGGGTTATTGTTGGTTACCGTAAACTTATTGTTATCATCAGGTGTATCTCATAAACACTTGATTACTTAACGCATTCAAATCGAAATAAAAACTTCAATTAAACTGAACAGTCACTACTACCATTTAGGGTCTTTAAAAAAAAAAAACCACCAAAAAAAAGAAAGTAAGAGAGAGAAAGAGAAGGCACTGCCTCTCAGAAGGGCCTCCTACAGGGCAAACTTCTAATTAAACAAATTGTCAATTTCAACACAATGAAAACTGATTTAGGAGCGTAAATTTAGTATTCTAGTCACTGAAAATAAGACCCGCATTGTCGGTCTCCTACAGGCTGATTTCATCCGATGGGGAAATGAAGAGGAGAGGAGGAAGACGAGGAGAGAAGGGAGGAAAAGCTGGGAAGGAGGAACACGCCGGAGCATTTTCTTCCTTTCAGCAGTGACATCTCCGTGGAATGCGAGGCAGCCTGTTCTCAAGCATGGGAGAAACTCCTTTCTTGCCTCTTCCTTCACCCCACCCCTACCAGATTAGAAAAAAAATTAATCGTGTATGATGACAAACTTGGCTCGGCACTCACTGTACATACTGTACCCACAAGTCTGGCTCCCCGCCAGGCCTGGCCCCGCGCCAGAACTACAATAACAAACACAGGCAACGCCAGCCAAGAGGGGGTGGGGGCAGCCAGCGCTCCGAGCTCGCCAGGAAGCCCGAGCACCAAGCACCGTTCAGCTCCGCTGAGCAGAAGGAAACAGCAGGAATGTGCCGGGCAAGGGCAGGGACATGGAGGGGAGCAAGCGCGACCCCTCCCCAGATCCCTCGGCTCGCTTTCCCGCAGCCTGCCCCTCTTTAAAAAATAGTCCCAAGGGTTCTGGAGCAACTCTTGCTCTTCCAGGCTCCGTGCTGCTGCTCCAACCCTTGGAGATCTGTAAAATGGGTGTGCACGACGCACCCAAAGCGTCCACTCTCGTGGTCGGCTTCCTGCACGCAGCCTTCAAAACAGGACAGCAGGAAAATCTCATGTCACCTAATGCAACGTCTCTTCTAAAACATCACATCGTTCTGTTAGCAGGCAGCTAGGGGCAGGCATCGGAACATGCCAAACCACTCCTGGAATCTTCTATAGGACCTGGCACCCCCAGCCCAGGCCAACCCTCTGACCCCGACTCCCCAACAAGGCCAGGTCACTCCAGAGGCCCCCATGGCTGTCATTGTTTAACAGGGGGACAAACAATGCAGGGAGCAGTATAGCCTCGCTAAACCCTTTGTGTTATTTGCAAGACATCCCAGTGCAGGGGTGAGAAGCATGCAGAGCAGTAGAAAGCAAAAATAGAGAACAGAAATATCAGACTCTGAAGGCTAAGAGCTATCTGCAAGTTTAAACTGAAACACTGTCAGGACTCATTGCACCTGCCCCATCACCAAATCCGCCTTCACGGGGATATTGGCAAATGACTAACAGAGGGACAAATGATTTGACACAGTCAGCCTTCGGTGTCCACTAAGACAGTCATGGAAAGGAAAGACTAGGAAAACAGGATCCAACTCCTAAAACCTCTGGAGCATCTATGTAAGACCAGGGGACCGGGAAGTGGCATCTTGGGCAGGACTGAAGTGCACTTCCCTGGGGAACCGCCGGCCCCACAGAGGAGGCTGTGCAAAGTCACTGTCTTGTCGGAACTGGGGGCCCTGGGCTGACCTGGCAGTATGTAAACATCCCTCTCCTCTCTGCAGCTGCCACCAGCCCCGCCAACACTGCTGATGTGTGATTGGCAGCAGAGATGGTGGCTCACTCACATTTAGTCACACTGCCTGCAGGAGGGGTACGGTATGGGCCAGCAGGCTCCCGGCTGCCCCTCCCAGGGAGCCGCTCAGACATAAACAGCTCCTACTGCAGGAGAGTGGAGTTTTCCTAAGTTGTTCATCAGCCTCCCAGGCTACACTCCCCCATCTAACAAATACTCGTTGGTCCCAACAACGTGCCAAGCCATGTGCTAGACATCACAGGGACAGATCCTGTCCCCAGGCAGCTTATAATCTATTAGAGAAACATAGGGGAAAGGAAATTACATTTACCGTGAGCCTGTTGTATGTCAGGCACAGTACTAAGTATGCAACATGAGCCTCACGACTTCTCTGAGAGAGGGTTAAATATTTTCATTGTACAGATTAAGGATACTGATGCTCAAAGAGCTTATTTATCTATTTCATGGCCAAGGTTACGTCATCAGGAGGTGGGTGCCCAAATTCCTCCCACCATGTCATCCTGCCTCCCAAGTAGAGGAGATAAGGGAAGTCCATAAATAAACCTAATACAGAAGAAAGAGTGTGCCCAAAGACAGCTTCAAATAAAGAAATATGAGCACCCAGAAGATGGCGTGATTGCTTCCAGCTGGAGGTGGGGAACAGGTGAGGATGGCATCGTGGAAGGGACCTTGGAAGATCTGGGAAGACGGGAAAAGTGTTATTCTGAGCAGATAAAATGGGTGCACAAAGCCACAAAGCTCAGAAAGCAACAGGCACCGAAGCGAAGTCTGGCTAGAGCGCTGGACTTGAGGGGAGAGTAGAGAGAAAGGATGCTACTGCCACTGACTTACGGAGAGGGGCAAGGAGGCTTCCACAACTGGCTGAAAAGAGCATTGCCCCCATCATCAGTGTCGCGTGCCACACAGGTGTCTGGGGCAGGGAGCAAAACACAGGCGCCCCACACTCTGCTCTTGGGGTAGGAGAGGTGCGGCCAAACGAGTGGGCAGACAGCTCTCGAAACCACTCACGGAACCTGAAACCACCTACAAAGCTAAAGAGAAGCAAGAAGATAAAAATGTGCATGTCATGAAAACAGAAGAAAAAGTGTACGTGAGTGCGGAGCCGGCGCCGAACACAGGAATGCCTGGACTCGGGGCTCCGGCCGAGGTGGGACAGGTGGGCAGGGTGAGGATGGTTCAGCCTCGCGGAGCAAGGGTGAGGGTGCGGAGGCCCTACAGGAAGGAGAAGCGGAACACACAAAAGCATAGGGACGGAGCAGACACGCTGAGACAGACAGCTGCCTGGTGTGGGCAGATCCCTGGCTACTGTGGCACAGGGCAGCACAGGAAGTGGGAAGGAGGCACGGTACTGTAGGAAGGGCCACGCAGGCCACAGAGAGTGGTCACATCCAACGCAGCGCCCAGCCACAGGGCCCTGCGGCAGGGCAGTGGTGCGCTGACGCACAGAAAGCCACCGAAGAGCATTTCCACGATCACACACGGGCTGGAGGGAAACCGATGCAAACAGCCAGCCGAGCAGGAAGCTTCTGGGTAAGGTGAGGATGCTACTCCCCAGGGGCAACAGCCTGGCAAGTGGAGAAAAGGAAGGAATGTGCAAGCGGAAACCACTGACACTTATTAAACGCCAACTGTATGCCAGGGGCTTGCTTTAGCATATATAATGCCTTTAGCATATATTCTGTCACCTAGTCCTCAAAAATAAAACTAAAATTTATGTGAGTTAGCAACACCTACGCTTATCAGATACAGAAACCGGGATTTGCAAGATTAAACGCGGCCAAGGTCACACAGCACACATCACAAACAGGATTTGAACCTTCGGGGGCCCAACCCCGAAGCCCAGGCTCATTTCACAAAGGCTCAACTGCCTGCAGGGCCAGTTGCTCGAGGCAATATGGGGAAAGAAGAGGCAGGCTGTATGAAGGACAGCAGGACCAAATGAGAAGCCGGCTCTCTTCTCTACCCTGAAAAGTGATTCCAAGGTCAAAGGCAAAGGAATTAGAAGGAAGAGAGTATGTCCTGGCAGGGAAGTGTTGAGGCCTCTACAACTGCAGGCAGCAATCTCTCAGCCACAAAGCCGCAGCATCAGACCTCCTGGATCCTTCCCTCCACCAAGAACACCTGGGCATGATGAGTGGCAGGTGCTTCTCCCCTTTGCACGCCTCGTGGGGCAGAGCAGCTTTGCCCAAACATGAGCAAAATTACCAGCAGCCACACAGTCGACCTCACTAGAATTGGATAAAATTAACTTGCAAAAGACAGCACGCTATAACTAGCTTTGTGTTCCAACCTTTCTATATCTATTTAATTAAAGGCTCCTGTATAATGTGAACCCAATAGTCAGATTCATTAGACAGCGAGAACCTAATTCCACAACTGTTTTGCTAATGAAACTACAGTCTGCTTTGGAAGGTAGATCACACAGGGCTCTAGGCACCAACGATGCCCAGGGAAACCCAGGAGAGCTTGTGGGTGGGTTTATCCAGGTGGTCACACCGCTCCATGAGCCTGGAGGGAGAATCCCTGGGACAAGGTGCACCAATGCCCCAGCAGGCAATGGTGCCATACAGACCAAAGCAAGCCCTGAGTGGGGAGTGATAGTGGGCAGGAGGTGGTTTCCTGCACCCCAATGGGGCATCGGGGCACCCTCACCTACCTGAATGAGCCAGTAAGTGCATTCTCAGCCGCAAACTATCCAGGAACCGCTTCCCGCAGAGCTCGCACCCGTATGTCTTCATCCCACTGTGCAGCTTCCTGTAGGGGAAAGGAAAAGAGAGTTTGCTGCCGCTCTGGCTGGACAGGAGGCACCCCGACCTGGGGGATCTGCAGTCATCCCTGTGGCAGGGGACAGGAGGCAGGGAGAGGAAGGACAATGACAGAGACACACCCCTGAGCCCCCAGACAGCCTAAGTCACTTCGTGTGCCCATGGCCTTCTGCCAATGAAGCACCCACTCCTGGGCTTGTGCACAGGACAGAAAAACAGGTCATTTTCTACTGCTTTCCCACTGGCATGTAGACCAAGGTAAAAAATCAGAACCATCTTCAAAGGTTGGAAGGAAGAAGCACCCAGGACAGTCAGACAGACATAATGCTCACTGCCACATTAGCACAGCCCATATATGGAGACTTCCAGCCTCTGTTTACCTCAGTGACAGCACTGTCATCACTGTGCTAAGTCTAACATGCCTGTTATACTCAGGAGGGCTGCACCTGCGTCTTTTCCCCCTCCTGTCTCCAACGCCCACTAAGGTGACTGGTGCAGAGGAGGCTCTGAATAAGCTTATGAATGAACTGATGCCTTTAGGGACGCAAGATGCGTCTCTCTCTGGCATCCAGATGTTCTTGGAACTGCGGTGACCCCCAACAGGCGCACCCTTCCCTTAAGGCCCCCTAGAGATGTATCTTCCCTCTACGTCTTGCCTTGACGGAAAGAAGAGTGTCAAGAACCCGGATAACGTCATTCCATAAACATAAGTCGTAGTAGTCTTTGGCTCTCGAAAGTATGCTCACACATGTAGTCTCTTTGCCGTCACTACAATTGTAGTGGGAGGTGGGTCGGGTATGTGTTATCAGTCCTGGGAAGACCTGGTGAGAACTCGTCACAGGCCGGGCCTGCCACAGTGCTCTGATCCCAACTCCCAACTGGAGCGTTTCCCACCAGACCCCCGGCTCGGTGACCAGCCAGCGAGGGTGCCGGTGAGACGCAGGGAGCCGGGTGGGCCAGCCGGTAACGCTGACGTCCCCCAACCCACACTCCTGCTGTCAGGTCCGGGATCCAGCCTCCACCTCTGCCCCAGTCGCTGTGCCTTCCCCACAACCTCCCCAGGGGCCTGGCCCTAAGGAACAGGACAGGCAGTGGCAGTCAGAGGCAGGATCTGCAGGCGGTGGGGTAGGCGGCAGAGAACACGAAGCCCTCTCAGAGCCAACAACCTCTGGAGTCAGAATGCTGGCGTGTTAAGACCGTGGTCAGAGGCTGGAGGCTTTATCTGATGTCAGATAAAGCTGCAAGCGGGGAGATGGGGTGGGACACACTCATGCCAGCAGCCCCCCAACCTGGGCTGCAGTGCCCAGATCATGATGATGAGAGTGGGCCACCCACCGCCACCACCTTCCAAATCCCAGGCTGAGAACCCAGCCATGTGGCAAAACCGTGCGGCGCCCCCAGGTGAGCCTCCTCAGCGCCGCAGTCTGCAGGCCCCGTGGCATGAGGATAGCATATGGTGTCCGGTGTGTGGCCTTCTGAGAGAGATCACACACAGTTCCCTTCGCAGGACTCTTTCCCAATCGCATTGTTTTGTTTGCTTGCTTTCCCTTTATTCCCTTGCCAAAGTCAAATGATTTCTCAATCACAAACACACACACACACACACACAGACACACACACACCCTCATCCATGACACTGTAGGGCACCCCATCCCCCTCCGTGTTCTTTCACTCCTAGCCATGGCTGATCTACCCAAATTGAGAAATATTAACAGTACAGAACATTTTAACTGAACATTCTTAACTCTAAATAGATTTCACAATGCTGGGCACTGAGACATGTCCTAATAGCATCTGGGGCAGAGTATCTTTTTAAATGCGTACCTAGGTATGGGAATGCACGTGAGCACATGCACGTACACACATACACACGATAGCAGAGTAGGCCTATCGCTTGCCCAGACATGACAGCTATTTGCTCTCCTAAGAGATGCTCTATAGAGTGGCAAAGCTCTGATCACAAGCGGTTCAGCAGGTGAGCTTTTCGCACACAATCACGGTAAGGTCTGGTGGATGGCACTGTATGGATTTCAGTTTGATTTATTTTCATCCTTTTCTTCCTTGGTGATTTGTTAGCTCCTAGGGGTACTTACCTCTCAGGGGCAGCTGTTAGGAGGAACAGGAGGACAAACACCCATTTAGACTTATTTTCTAAAACGGCTCTACAGTGACCAGTCTTCAGATTTTGGAAGCCACCACCATGCTCAACTCCACTCTTGGGTTCCCATCTCTTCTCTCTGAGGCTTCCAGTTCAGATTCCTCACCCTGATAAACATTCTCTGGGTAATAATTTTCTCTAGATGTGAATGGATTTGCCTAGCAGCTGGTGGAAGCAGTTTTTTTCTTCTTGGTCCACTAGATTGGCTTGGTATGAAAGGTGATGAGTGCTTGCCCTTTTACCATGGAGGTATCAGGAAACAGGAAAGAATGCCCAGCAAGCATCTGGAAGGCCTGGATTCTCGACCTGACTCAGCCGTTAACTTGCTAAGACCTGGCACAAGTCATGCTACCCCAATCTCCCTGCATTTGCTCACCTGTAAAGTGATGTGGGTGCTATCTAATATTTTGCATGGAGACAAAATTGTATTATGCAAATGTCTTGCCCATATCCTTTTACCTGGCCTCCGAAGTGTTCCTCAGCGGGGCACTATTCTTCTCCCTGAGCCATGTCCCACTCGTTACTGTCCCCTGTGATGCCCTCTGACACCTAGGCCATCAGGCTAGGATAGCCCAAGCAAAACTCTAGACCCAATCCCAGCCATCTACTCATTTTAAAACCTTCTAATCCAGGTGATCTGAGTTTTCTCCTTTACTTACTATTTATCTATCTTTCAGTGAAAGAAACTTCCAGAACTTGCCACCAGCTTTTCCTCGGAACCACTCTGTCACCATGCATTTCCCAGTCTTCAGAGACACAGGTGGCCTGTCCTAGTCAATGCTCAGGGTGAGGACACTGCCCTGCACTTGACCCACTAACTCAGTGCCCCACACGGGCCACCAGAGATGAATATGGTGTCCAAGTGCTTCCGCACGTAGTCCAGGGACAAAGGTCTTACCCCACTGGCAGAGAGACCTGGGCAAGCACAAAGTTCAGAAGAGAAAAACAAAACAACTTCACAGGCCTGGCAGTTCAACAGAGCCCAGCGCTGGTTTGCTCATATCTTTAATTCTTGTCCATATACCAGGGGACATACCACGGGAAGGATGTCACAACGGGGAGGCTTCTCCCCATGCAAAGGAAAAGGAAATGGCTGGGAGTGTGAGTGCATTCAAGAGACTTGGCTACCAGCAGACTCTCTAGGGCACTGTCCACAGGATGGCCAATGTGGAAATAGAATTCCAACTGGTTTCTGGAGCAAAAGTCCACATTTTTATGAACTCACGTTCTATCTATCCCTCTTTAGACCACAACCTCCCACCACCTCCGCACTGCCACATTATGCAACTGCAAAGCATTTGGATCAAAATGGAAATTCGATCCACCTCCTTCTTCCTTACCACACGCACTCACGTCTTCCCCCGTCTGGTCCTGTCTCGTCGTACGGTCTACAGCACATGGCCATTTGAGAACACCAGCCTCTACTGTGACACAGGCAAGGGAGACAGCTGGGGACATTTGGGCGCCTTTCTGTATACTGCCCTGGTTGACGATGGAGTTTTCACACCCTCCTCTCTGAGAGAAGCCGCACTGATGAACGCCGTCTCGAAGTAACCTGGTTCTAGCACAGCCGCGGCCCCTCCATCCTGTACTCGGTGAAGAACCCACCCCCTGCCCCCATATGCCTCAGGTCCCTAACCATCCACTCTTGAGGAGCAGACTAAGGATCCCCCCAACTCTTAGAGCCCACCTACCACAGACCACACCTGGGCCATTAGGTGAACTGACCTTGTGTGTAACAGATTTTCACTTCTGTCCAAAAAGACAGAGAAAAACTTAACCTCTAACAGGTTTCTATCTGTATTCTCAAGAAAGCTGAGTTATTATGAGAAATGAGAGCTAAGCAAACCTGAACCTTTTCACTAGTAGCTGAAGAGAAAGATCCATTTCTTCTCACTGATTCTAGACTCTCACCAAGCTAGCAAGACACAGGCTCATGGTCTGAACCGTTTCTGTGCTATTAATACTTCAAGTCTGAAAATCCATAAAGATTCCCTCTAGCTCAGAGTGCAAACTCCATAATGGCAGAAGCCAGCTCACACAACTCCTGTCCTCTCCTGAGCAGGACCTGGCCAATCGGCACTGACATACTGCTGTGTCCCCCATGTGGGTGCCTTCACGAAGTTCTGCTGATGCTCTCCAGCTCCAAAGCGACAGCTGAATCCCAAGCATGGTGGGAGGAGACGCTGTCCCCGGCCTTGCTCACTTTTCCAAGTAGAGACAGAACTGAGAGACAGAGAGCTTTGTGTACTTTAGAAATGGGCTTATTACTCTTCCTCCTTAGACTCTTCAGTTCCAAAATGAACCTTCAACATCCACTGACCTTTAACTCAAATGACAAGAGAAAGGTCAAATAGTCAATGGTATCCTGTGCTCTAATTCTGAAAGGAAGGGATGAATAAAAAGTTACTAGGCGATTCCTCCCGAAAGCAACTTCCATGGAGATCACAGGGTGTTTCCATATTTGGTCCAATTTCCTATTCTTTCTAGATGTCTTCTTGTGGGAAGGGAATTCTCTGAACCAGGCCTGTTCTACTGGAGGCCTCCACCCTAAACCAGAGCATGTTATTCACAGGGCATCTGGGACACTCAGAGGAAATGTTCCCTACCCTCTAAGGGTGACAGCATATCTTCCCAAGGAATTTCCCTTAATGCCGTCAACAGTGCCACATTCCAGGCTGGTTAGGTCCATTTGTCACACCCAGTGTCATTCTCCTCACTTATTTTCTAGGAATATGAAGACTAAGATAGGAATTCAAGGAATTCTAGGAATTCAAGACTAAGATATTGAACAGTCCCTCAAAACTATAAGCTCCTTGGGGGCAGGACCC